TCAGAATTAGAATATTCCCTGCCGACAGCCCTAAGATCAATAAGAAGGAAATTAAATCTTTGATGTACTTCAAACATCGTCTCAGACTTTCCATAGAGAAAGCTTTCATACTGCCTTACTAGATTGATCTTTCTAGTCTCCTGAACCTGAGTGGTTCCTTCATATTGGACACAAAGTGTATCCTATATGGATTTAGAAATTTTGAGTTTCATCACTGAGTGATAGATCTCATCAGGAAGAGACATAGCTATTATAGACCGAGCACGCGTGTCTATAGCTATCTTCTTCTTGTCCTCATCGCTCCACTAATGTGGAAGCTTTGGAATCTGCCGTTCAGGAATCGCGGCAGTCGTAGCCGTTGCTGGAACAGCTGGAACAATAGCTAATGGAATATATGGTCCATTTTCTATGTAATGTGGAATTTCAAGATCCACACCTTCCAGAAAGAGGGACATCCATTTCTTCCAGAGACTAAAGTTGTTACAGACAAACCGGGGAGGTTTGGAAAGAGAGCCATTATCTTTTATGTGTGTGTTTGTAATTTGTAAAGCCATTTGTAAGTAGTAAGGTTATCTAAGAAGAGATAAACTAATACAGAAAAACAACCAAACACAAGGAAAGAAAGAAAACACTGCTCTGATACTACTTGTTGGTCCCGTAAGGGTCTAGAAGAAGAGAAACAGTTTCTGAAGGGGGGGATGAATACAAACACAATATTTTCAAATTTAAAATATATATTGATAGAGAAGATCAATACAAATTTTACAAGATTGTTTGTGGAAAGATAAGGTAATAAAAACCTATCTAAACAATCTTTAGTTACACACAATGCTTTAGCAATTACAAGAAAAGAAGTTGCTAAAAGAAAGATCCTTTACTTAAGCTAGAAGATGCTTGAAGTAAGAATTAGGTTAGATAGAGAGATGCACGCTCTCTGCATGGAGAAGAAATACTTCTATTTATACCCAGTGCATTAAATGTCCATTTAATGCAATATGGTAGGTTTAGAGTGCGTGTCAAGCCTTAAGAGGAAGGCTTGTCCTTTGCTACAGTGAATAGTACAAAAGCACTATTCAAGAGCAGACATCCTTACYTRAARTTRGTGGACAAAGAGTCGACTAGTCGGCTCCGTACAGTACAACTTTTGTAAGGGTATGGGTTTTGTCCTTTGTGTGCATAAGGACAAGACAACAACAATCATGCTAAGCAAGCTTCCTTTGATCGCTGAATGCTGGAATGACCTTAAGGTCTCATCATCATTCGCTGAAGCTTAAGCAGTCTTCACACATATGTAGACAGGCTTGTAATCACTGAATACCGCTTTAGATCACTTACTCGCCAGTCTCTAATATTCAGTTTCAGTCTTCGACGTTTGCTGAAGGTTCTTTGGTGTGAGTGTTGTCTTCTTGAAATATTGATGTCTCTGATAGATTTACAATGCAAGTTCTTCAGCGATCACTGAACATACTTAGTGAAGATCGCTGGAACTGAAAATATAGAAACACAATTACAACGTGAAAGAGAAAAGGGATTATCATCAAATTACTGGGAGAGAGGATCAACAGACCTTATAAATGGAAAATGTGGTTCACTCGAAGCGAGATTTAGTTCATGGTTGAACGATGTGCATGGACAAGGACCTACGGCTAATCCTTCACCATACATGCCTCCGCATGACAACTATGTAAGAGTGTTTATTTTTGTTGATGTTTTAATTTGCAAGTTAACAATTATATAAACATTAAATTTATATTGGATGGCGTAATATCAGTCACCGATGGCGCATGTGGACACACCTTTGATGCGTCAGCATGTACCGATGGATGCAGTAGATATGTTTAAGATTTCACTGATTTTAATTTAAAAGTTAACAATTATATGAAAAAAATTAACTTATATTGGATTGTGCGTATACAGTATATACCGCAGCCGTACAACTCTGAGGATACGGTAAATATGTTAAAGTTTTATAATGTTTTTATTTATTAAGTTAACAATTAAGTTAGATAAACTTTTTAATTTATCTTGGATTGTGCGTACATAGTTTATGCCGCAGCAGCAACTTGCGATGGTTGTTGTGGCATCTACATCATGCTACATCCCATTTGTAGAGTTGCAAGAAGAGGTTTGTCTGCCCGATGCTCCTGAGAAGCGAATGAGCAAGAAATCATGGTGGATCAAATCTCCATTTACGGTCTTAAAAGGCAAAAAAAGGGACAAAAAAGCTGTTAACCAAATGCCCTCATCGATGCCCACAATGCCCATTGTAGACGTTCGTCAGTTGTATGATGCTAATTAGTTACCCATTCTGCGTTTATGGACGCTAGATTATTTGCGACCTGAAAATGAGTTTTGGGGACAACTGTTAGGTAGACTTGATTCAAGATATTTAGGAAATGAGGTATGAGAATTATACTATTTACTAATTAAGTTGAAAAACTTACATTTTTGACTCATTTAATGATAATCAATCCATTATTTTGTATTTTTAGCATCTTGATGTATGGAACATTTATCTACTCTACAAGAGGTAACCGACAAACCGTTGGACCATCATGCGGCCTTGTTGGTACCAAGTTTATCGAACTCACATCTTGGCCCTGTGGATCAAAAGGTTTACGGCAATGGTACTCGAGAGCCATTTCCGTCATGGCAAGACATCGACCAGGTCGGTAGAATCACACAACAATTTTGTTATATATAGAAAATAATTTATTTATCAATTCTTATTCGCAACTTATTTTTTCAGGTATTCATTCCAATAAACATAACTAATGCTCATTGGCATTTGACTATATACGATACTTGTTCTTCGGAAATGTTCAAAAAACAGATCAATGCTTTAACCATAGTGTTAAAAAAGTACCTGCCCAAATTCCTATTGGAGATATGATATTATATAGGGGTCAGAGAGACACCTAGATTGCCGAATTTATAAGTATTTTATCCAGGATACGTGCCTCGACAGGCTGGAGTCCTCAGTGATTGTGGGGTCTTCTATTGTATGTTTGTTGAGCAGTTGTCCCAAGGAGAAGATGTATATTGTATGGAGCCGACTGACCATCATGCAATGTGAAATCAAATATCACAACTTCATACCGACCATATTAAATCTTATACAATTACTTGTCCACTTCTTGCAAGAAATGGCTGCAAACCCATCATCATCAAACCCTCCATCTTCTCAAACCATGCCTACCAGGATGAAGAAATACATAGAAAAAGCTGAAGCAGAGATAAAGAAGATTAGTGATGATTAGTGGACAAACAGGGAGAGACAGAATAAACTAGAAGAAGCGATCGAAGAGAAGAAAAAGACTATAAAGCAATTGCAGAAAGAGATTCAAGCTGAGGAAAAACTTGTCAAGGACATAGGGAAAGGGTACCTCATGATGCAGAAAATGATCAATGAAAAGCAGTATTGGATCGAATCTTGCAAACAACTTCATCCAGAAGGAAATTAACAAGCATGTTATGTATTAATGTTGTTGTTCTCATTGACGTTTTTAATGGTAATGTTATGTTGGGTCATTGACCAGCATCTTTCTAAATCGAAACGTGGTGTTGGCTGCAACGCTATAAGGAAATAAGTTGCGCCTTCTCCACCAGCAATTGCTTTTGGCATAGTGGTAAGCGCTTGGATCCTATCATGTGGTATCAGAGCAGGTCACGGGTTCGAATCCCATGGAGTGCATAATAATGCCAAAGGCATGCTGTGCAGCCATTGACTTCTAGCGAAGCTCTTGTTAGTGCTGGCAGATGCTTGGGGGATTGTTGGGTCATTGACCAGCATCTTCTTAAATCGAAACATGGTGCTGGCTGCTATGCTATAAGGAAATAAGTTGCGCCTTCTCCACCAGCAATTGCTTTTGGCGTAGTGGTAAGCGCTTGGATCCTATCATGTTATGCATGAATGTTTTTGTTTTAGTTGATGTTAGCTATGTTCATCTATGTATTAATGGTTAATGTTCATGTATTTCTCAATCAAACTGTCATTTAGTATTAAAACAACAAAGCTACACTTTACAAACGTACATTTACTTACTTAAATCGTAAGTATCAAATACATAGTCTTGTGTAGTATCAGGTTGAGACGAACCACAATCGATTGGTCGACTAACTGATCTTTGACGATTACTTGAACTTCCGTACGCCAGCCTAGGAGCTGGCATCGGACTCGGACAATTATATCGAAGATGTCCACTCTGGTGGCATCGACTGCAAGTTGTCACTATTGGTTTCTCGTCTCGTGACGGGATACAATCGCGGTTACGTGGCCTGCCAGAGTTTTGTATGTCCAAGGGAGGTGGTAGGACGGTCATACGTTCGTTGGGCAACACATATTCAGCTTCTGGTGGAAGGGGAATTACTTCCTCCTCGTATGTTGCATGATAAGAATCAGAGTTGAACCAAACAAAACAAAATTGACTGCAGTCTTGAATATCTAAACTTCGAACAACAAATATCACATGAGCGCAAGCTATACCAGAAAGTTGCCATTGCATGCATGTACAAGTCTTATCATGCAAATCGCACGTTCCTTTCTTATACCTGTCATCAACTTCAAACAACAAATCACTAATGGGATATACCTTCCAATTTGCACTCCTATGGATTCTCTTTTCTATTTTCGCCCCCAAGGAGTCACTGCATTCATCATTTGAGCTGCAAATATTTGATATCATTAGCATATGTTAAATGATCAAACATATCGTTTTGGATGGTTGCATTTACCTCCGTTATGCCGACGTATAAAATACCATTATTGCAATATCGTGCGATAAAATTCCACTAACATTGTTATGGGAAGGTAACGTGCAAACTGGGTTACTGAGTTGACGGACTCTACACTATTGGAAGTCATTGCACTGTAACGCAATCTAGAGAAGTGCGATCGTGCCCATCTAGCGTAACCAACTTCCTCAAGATATTGAGCGGCGTTAGGTAAACTGTGCCGCATCAAATCCATTGTAGCTTCAAAGTCCGACAATCTATAAGCTTTGCATGCCTCCTAGAACATCCACATTTTCCTTTTGTCTTTACTGGAGGTTAGGCGCAAGTTCTGGCTCAGATGCCGACAACAAAGGTGGTGGTGAACGTTGGGAAATACAGTTCATATGGCCAAGTCGATAGAGGCAGCCCTATCAGTTACGAAGGTTAAATTGGGAACTTCACCGATACACTGTCTCAGCTTATGTAAAAACCATGTCCATGACGGGCCACTTTCTGTCTTCCCCACTCCCATTGAAATTGGTACGATCCCATTGTTTTCATATATGTCGACCACTAAGAACATGGTGCCAACGTATGGCCCCTTCAGATGGACATTGTCCATTATAAGGAGTGGTCTCAGGTATCCTAAAAATGATCGAATCTGCAGATGAACGAGGTTAAAAATATAAACTTCAGAACATAAAATTATGACAATAATTCAAGAATATCACAAAAATTATTATCGAACAACCGAGTGCGACAAACAACATGTCGAATCTTCCAAGTCCATCAACTGCGATCTCTATCACAGGCCCCGAATTTGCTATCTTCAAATTGTGACAATAAACCGAGAGTAGGTTAAACGACGATTCAGGGGTCCCTCTCAACAGTTGCAAGGCATACATCTTTGTTCGCCATGCTTGGTTATAGAAGATGCTAATATTGAACCATTGGTTCACATCTTCCATAATTTATTTTCCACGGTACACTCTCCTACAATCCTTTAAACTCCCTGCCAATATATGATCCAAAACCTTTTTATTCGCATTACGGTGGTTTGAGTGAACTTGGGACCTTGAACATGTGTGTTCATCATGCGATTTCCATACCTGAAACATACTGGTACCATCGATGGAGACAACCATTAAACGCCAATCACAGTCCGAAGCAGAGTGACACACCGCCTCGTACCGGTGTTTGGATGATTTCTTAACCTTGATCTGTGAGTTTTCATAAACACATTTTTAACCCCAATGCGAGCTTCAGTGCTTCCTTTGAGTCAAAGGTTTGGTTAACTTTGACATGGGATGTAGGCTGGTAGGAAATGTTTCCCTGTCTACTTTTGATAATAAGGTCTGGACAAGGTGTTGGGTTGGGCATACCCCAAAAACTATTCCTACCGGCTGGATTTTTTCAGCATCGAAGTTATCGTCTTCGGGTATATTCAAAATTTCTGCAGCAACAGAAACATCTTCAGCCATATCTACCTTCCACAAATGTTTTGACTGTTCCGGAGACTGGATTAGGTATGGGTTGGGAGACTGTGTCGGAGACATGTTCAAATCTTGAACCAAATAACTGTCATGATCAACAGTATTTTTTTTGGTTCAAAATATGAATTTCCACCAACACCACCGAGGGAGAAAGTGCTTGGATCTCCACCATTGCCACCACTGGGGAAGAAAGTGCTTTACTTTTCACCAGTACCACAACCGGGGTAAAAAGTTCTTGGACCATATGGTTTTGCACCACTACCGTCGGGGAAGAATGTGCTTGGATTTCCACAGCTAACACCACCGGGATAAAAAAATGTTTGGACCGCCCGATAAACTTTGATGGATTACGACACTTGATATATTTCCACCATAACCACTATTGTCGACCACAAAGAGTGTCAACATTTTCGGTAAACTTTGATTAACGGCGTTATGGAACATTAGCACATCGTCGTCATCGCTTAACTGATATAATATTTGTAAGGAATTCATTTCATAAAATAAAATTAAAGGAACACGTAAACGTAAATTTTTCGTGACACGTTTAACGACACCAGAATACGTTATTGGCGAAGGCAAACGTCATACATGTACGGGGGAGCTTAACTGAAGGTACTCTAAGACACCATGTATCTTTTGGAATGAACCACCACTTCGAAGATACACCAAAACATCATCACTTTGACGTGATTTCATATTTGTGTTTAAGGGTGATGGGTTGTGATGGTAGATTGTGTTTAATGGTTAAGGGTTAAGGATTGTGATGGTTTATTGTGATGAAAGGTTAAGGGTTGTGAGAATAGAATATATGAGGATAAAAATGAAAGAGGAGGTGTGAAAAATAATGAAATAAGAGGTTGGTATTTATAATGAAATTTGTTGCACTGAAAGACGAAATAGGATTCACATAAAATATCTGATATAATATTTGATTTTTGTCCACCAAATCAGATACAAATAATTTTTTTCGTCTCCACAATTATTATAGAATATCAACATTTCTTATAAGAAAAAATATAACAACAGTCGTTGGTTAATTTACGTGTTTCAAAAAAATTAGTAAAAATTAGAAATCTTCACGTACAATCATATTTTTATAAGGTTTGTCACGGTAGATTGTGTTTACGGTTGTGAGAGTAGAAGTGTTTTATTTTATAAACTAAAACCATGACATTTGATCCTAAAAAGGTAAAAAAAAAAAAAAACAGTTTAAATCGTCTCATATTTATTAAAAACACCCCTGAATCGATATACACTAAAAGACAAGTTTGTGAAAAAAAAAATACATGGATCGCCCCCGGGGATAGATCCCAATTATCGAGTCAAATAGTGTTGGTTTCCTAAAGGTGATACATGTGGGCCCCACCAAATTAATTTTTTATTATTCTTTTGTACTATTTGGTCAAAGAAGAGGGGATCGCCCCCATAGTCAAACCTCTACCCCCGGGGGCAATCCGTGTGGGCATTTTGGCAATTTCGGTAAAAGTTGGCTATTTCGTTAATACATCAGGTATATTTTGAACGTTTTGGTGATTTTCCCTAATGTTAATGTTTCGTTTTATTTATTTGTCTCAGTCGATATCATAATACGGTTTTATGTGGTTTTGAGAAAACGATAATGTTTTTATTTTTGAATAAAATATAAATATGGAGATATCATAAAATTTTGAAAAATATATATATTGGTATTAGTACCAAACTAATTATTTAAAAATTTCTCCTTTTTTATATATTTTTTATATCATTTTCTTATTTTTGGTTAAATAATATAATTTTTTATAAAGATAATAATTAAGTATTTTGTTAGAACTCAATGATTATTCTAATTATATTTTAGATTTTATATATTTAAAATTAGATGTTTATCCGTTATTTGATTATGTTTATCTACAGTTAGTTAAATGAATTCAAACATGAAGCTTTAGTAAGTTGTACTTACGCACAATTTACTTATAATCTTGAATTTTAAGTAATATACATCAATAAACATTACTTTATGCATAAAAAATGGGTTCTAAGAGTTTTTATCAAATGCTTTATAATATAGTCTAGATATAATATTACTTCCAATTCACGTATTCGATGTACGTACAGTGGCAGCTTTGAAAGTTTAAAATATAGATATTAGTTGGACTATGTACTATTGTTGATAGTTTTTCAAAATGTATGAATTTTCTTAATTTATAATAAGAAGTCTGCACCATTTTGATACAAAAAGAGAAATCATGATAAGGAAATTATCGAGTAGGTGGGAGATAAATTATGTGGGATTATCTAGGTTTTCCGGACTATGATGTAAATGACGATCAACATGAATGGGAAAGGAAAGATGATTTAATAGATCCAATAAGAAAAAATAAAATAAATGAAACCTATAATCTGTAAAGCTCAAGGAGTCGTTGATTAAGCACTTAAAATGTGATCTCGCAGTATATAATGGAATGCCAATAAAAGATGAATAAGTCGTATACACTTTTCATTTTCTTCTTGCTCTACAAAAGTAAGATATTTTGATTAAATGTTTTGAAACATGACAAACATAAGAGAATTGACATAATGCATTTAACTGGAAAATTTATTGACCAATCACAAAACCATGACACTACAAAGTAGAGCACTTTTTCCAAAAGAAAAGTTCATCTTCGGAAAACAATATTTCCTACGGATTCCGGCAGTAAGTTAATTAATTTTTTGTGAAAATGTATTTGATTTTTAAAATTTTAATTAAATTATCGATAGATAATCTGCCGCAATTCTGTGAATTATTTTTAAAAAATTTAAAAGTTAAAATAAAAACATTGGCGAATTTATCCGCCACTGATCCGTCAGTAATTCTTAGTTTTTTAATAAAAGAAATAATTGAAAATTATCCTATACATTTTATTGAATTTTCTAATACAAATACACATTTACATGTATACAATAAACTAGTAGTGCACTCGCACAATGCTGTGGGATGTAAAGAATTTGAAGTATCTATAAGTTATCTTCTTGAATGAGAATAAACGTTTTCGAAAGTCGGAGGAAAAGACTTTGTGGTTGCACGACTTATAAAAGGATGTTAATCACAGGGTTTAACCTTCATAGCAAGGTTACATCGTGTAACAATGGCTAGATAACGGAATTAAGCCAAATCCTTGAGTTCTAAATTATTCATCTTGAAAGTATACTCAAGAAACTGACAATCATGTTGACATAAGATGACTAAAAGAATTATCAAAAACTTACCTGACAAGTTTTGGCCATCATAGTATATATACGGGTGCTCAAAAACCCGACCAACTCGTTTAATCCGATCAATCCAACCCAACCCAACGCGAAGTAACTCAACCCGAAGCAACCCGATGTCAAATCGAGTTGTAAAATTTTAAACCATAGGTATTTGTTTGATATTGGGTTACTATTATTTGAACCCAACCCAAACCGATGAACCCGATATCCTTTTATTTTTTTGGATTTAATATGATTGTTGGATTGGGTTAAGATTTTTTAAACCACAAGCACTAAGTAAGTTGTTCAAATGTTTTTAACCCGATCAATCTAATCCACAAACACCCTAGTATATACAATTCCCAATCTTGCTACCACTATGTTACAACTTGCTCAACTCTAGATTTTCCCATTAATAGTCCTTTCCATTTTGTTAATATGTTAAACCATGTAATAAAGTTATTCAAACCCCAATTACATCCACAAACCAACACGTTGGCATAAACAAATATAGCTCAAACCGAGAGCCCCATTTCGATGTGGTTTCCAG